TGTGACTCTGCTGCCCACAGGTTTTTAGGGGTACAGAAACAGAATGGCACGTGAGAACCACCTCCACGCCCCCCAGTAGTCTTTCTGCTGATGGTGGAGAATGAAGAGGAGGGGGAGTTGGAGTAGTCTGTTGAGGGCATGGCTGGCTCTGAATAGGAATATGGCTTGTCCTTCTGATCTGAATGCTGTCTAGATGCAAAAAGGAAAGTGAATTATTTAGGGGAGGGATGTGGAAGAGTAATCGATGTGGAAGAGTAATCGCAGAGCGCAGATGGCTGGTGAGATCTAAGGCAGCGCACGTGTTCTCTGTTTGCTTTAATCTGTAGGCACGGTGCTAATTATTTAATTGCAGCAATTAACAGCTTCGTGCTTTGGGGGGACCCCTATTTACGCTTCCAGGCAGGTACAGAGCTAAAAACACTCTGTGTTTTCAGTCTTTTTTTGGAGGTGGGAAATGATGTCAAATTGGCTCCCCTTGGAAATGTTTGAACGATGCTTTGCAGTCTCTGCGGATCTCTGAGTACCAGTAATTGGCTTGACAGCACCAGGAGACTTTTTTTCCCCCCTCCAGCAACAACTGCTAAATTAATCTTCCTCCTAAATCTCAATGAACATTCCTCCTAAATCTCGTAGATTTGTCCTAGTCAGTCTCTGGAGTGGAAGATAAACTAGATGGGGGGATTAGCTTGCATAACCCAGAAGATTCAGAAAAATGGGATTGGTAACTTGTGGCTTAGGGTGCTGTGGGAACTCAGGCCTTGTCTTAGCAATGGGGTGGCCCAAGTCATTGCATGAAGCTATTCTTTGGTTGATTTCTCAGGCATCGTGGTTTATATCACCATGGTAGTTGCATTTAGTATGTTACAAAAAGTGACCGAGAACATCCTTAAGCATTGGGCACCTTAAATAAGTGGGCTTTGTTTGAGAGTAAAAGTGAGTGTCACCAACACAGGCCTCTTACCTTGAATGGCTCTAAATCAGTGTTTCTCAACCTCAGCAAGTTTAAGATGTGGGGAATTCTGGGAGTCCCCACGTCTTAAACTTATTGAGGTTGAGAAACACTGCTCTAAATATTATACCTGCCTTCACTTCTCAAGATCAAGTGCCTAGCCCTTGTTGCACCACGATCCTACTCACTAGTCCTACCTCCTGTTCCGAACCTCGATCTTCGCCCTTGAGACTTGGGACTTCTTGTCCCATTGTATCACCCCAGCACAATTGCATTGGGCCTTAGAATACTGCAGGTGCTACAAATCTCCCAAAAGAGACACAGATCATCTCTGGTTGTCCTCACAGTTGCAGTCCAGATCTGGTGGCCCTTCAGTAGAAGCTCTCTACCACATGGGTCATCATTATCAACACTGTTAAGCATCACCCCTCCAAGGATTTCCAGAGAGCATCTTTTCTCCACCCTCCTTGGAGATGTTGGGAATTGAACCTTGGTTCTTCTGCATGTGAAGCAAATACTTTGGCTTTGAAGCATAGCCCTTCTTCACTATGGCAAGAGCACAGACTTACTCCTCTTCTGAGCTTGAAGCTGGTGGTTACCCCAGCAGTTGTCCTGAGTTTTGGAGTTACCCTGGACCCTCTGTAAGAACCAGATCAATTCTAATCATGCTATGTTTTGGAAGCATTCTTAGGCCAGGACCTACCTTCCTTAAAAGTTGGATGTTGTATAATTTGCAGTGGAAACCATGCATTAAATCTGTAGTATTTTGGAGAAACCATAAATGGTAGCGGCGTTCAACTGTGTTTTCCTCTCCCACGGCCTTAATTGCTGCAGTATGCAATTAAGGGCAAGCTTGCTGTCAGGCTAGCTCGCTTGAGTGTAACAAAGCTTCTGACCAGCTTCTTCCTTTCTTGCAGGATTGCTGTGTGAGTCAAGGAGGTATGTGGTACCTTAAAGGGACAGTTCAACAGCCAACATCTTGACAGTGGGAGTTGCCTTAATCGCATCAGGTTTAACACCAGAACAGACGGAGAGAAACCGGATGGGGCAGGAAAATAAAAATCACCACAGAGCTCGTTCCCCTCACAGGCCTGCGGATGGAAGACGTTCCAGAGATGGCCCTGCTAGCTATTGGCCTACCATTCAAACCACCATTCTTGAAAGGATAGGGGAGGGAATGGATCTTTATGTACCCATAGATTAATTTGGATTCTTAATATATACCGTATTTCTCAACCTTATTAGAAGCAACCACCACCACGATCCTTATAGTAGCTGAACTATATGATCTAATGGTTTATTTTATAATGAATGCCAATAAACTGCAAGTTCCACGAGGAGATCCAGATTTTAACTCTGCACGTGCTCTCACTTCTAATTACTGGTTTCTTTCCGTAACGGTGTTCGCCCCTCAGAAGGCCTGGCGTGTGTTGACTCCATTCCAAGTTACATATAGCTGCAGTTATATCCAGCCCAAACTGCTGAGCCTCCTTTAAAAAGAAGGATCCTATTTCCTTTTCAAAGATAGCCTTGTTCAGATTTAACAATGCCGACGATGTCCGGTCCGCAGCTAAACCCACTCGCTTTTCCCCCGTTTTTATTCTGCAACCGAGTGGCTGGAATTCGTGCTTTGCATAGGTTTGGCAAAACGATATTTCAATTAAGCTGGCGTAGGGAGCAAAAAGAGGGGCATGTCAAGCAGGGAAACTTGAGAAATCAGACCCCCCCCTTAACTTAACCTGCTTCACAGGTTGAAATGGAGCATTAGCGCTGCGCATCCTGAAGTGCTCGGAGGAAGATGGAAACTATAGATAAGTCTTTAAAAAGCGTGGGAGTTTTAAACAGCCCTTTTCCAACCCGATACTCGCATGTTGGAACTAGAATGCGCAGGATACGTGGCCGTTGGACACAGTAACATCTAGGCAACAAATTTACATAGGATTGAGACATTAATGTGTCTCTTTGCATATAGGTAATCAGGTACTGTCTTTTCTTAGGATACCAGCTTTAAAACCCTAACTGCGTTCTAGCTTTTTAATTTGATTTATAGCCTGTTGCAATCAACAAGAAAATCACATTCCTCTTTTGGTAGGTTTAAACCATGAAATCGTAAGTCACAACAGTTCACCCAAAACAAACACGTAGCGCTGGGAAATCCCAGAACAGACATCCCCTCTCCCAGAGAAATTACCTCATCTTTCGATTCCAAAGATCATCTGAAACAGCCAAGACTTAAGAGCTTTACAGAACACCGTAAGTATGGAGGGCAATCCAGTCTCCAGGCCCATCTTATTCCAAAGGAGGGCAGTAATAAAAGACCTGCTTGCGAGGTCCCTGTAGATGCCATGACCCCAGGAAGCCCAAAGCCCACTCTTGGATTTTATCAGATTGGCAGAGGCTACCAAGGGTGGTCCCGAATCATGAAGGACCTTCAAGAAGACAAGCAACACCTGGAAGTCAACTGGAATTCCATGGGTCATCCAACTAGTATTCGTAACTACCTGAGCCGTCATGTTCTAAGGTCAACCACAGCTTCCAGATGCACCTCAAGAGGAACCCCACGTGGTGGGCGTTGCAGTAGTCCAAATGAGGGGACCAAGGCATGAGTGACTGTGAGCAGGGCCTCCAGATCCAGGAAAGGTAAGTGGTGCACCGCCTGCTCTTTGAGCAGGAGTTGTGAGTGCAGAAGGACACCCCTCCCTTTAATATACTACACCTCTGTAGTCTGATCAGCAATATTGCCACACCGTTCTATGGCAGTCTTCCTTCGCATAAAGTCGGAGGCACATAAATACATTCACCAAATACCAGCCAAAACTTAATTGTGGAAAGGATTTATTTCTCTTTGCAAAACGTTCACAATACTGTACAACTCATAAATTTAAATACACCAAGCGAGATTCTGCCTGAAATCTCTGAATTCAAGCAGAACAAGTGACCCTCATTTTATGGCGGTAGATAAGGCAGAAGACTTCGTAAGAGCAGCCAAGAGCTACAAGCTGCGGGTTTGTTTTTTTTTACGCGACTCAAGTTCTTTTTAAATGAGGAATGCAACATGAACAGATCCCTTTTCTTTGGAAAAACAAGTCACCTTTTGTAATGCTAGCTAACCACTTACCTATTCGTCTGTATTTTGAGAGGACTATTGGGGACATTGGTTCATACTCTGAATTAAAAAAAAAAAAACTTGTATTCCCAAGAGGTTCTTCTGACAAAAGCTTAAAGTAAACGCTCTAAAACTACAAGGAATTCTTGGACTTTACAATAGGATGTCACTGTCAGCAGGAGGCTCAGAATGGTATCCTACGTATTATGTCATAATTTGGCTCTTTCTACATACAGCACGTTTGCAACGATGATGGGGGACTATAGAGGAGGAATGAGCGGTAGGATGTTGAAGCCGCTCTGGCTCTTACCAGCTTGAGCTTAAAACAGGCTACGTGGTTGATCATCTTCAGAAAATCAGATCCTTGAAGACATGCTGAAAGGTTTTAAGTTAAAGTGAAACTGAGGCCTACATGCAACAGCTTCTATTATTTTTATTTTGCTCCATCCTAATCAGTTTACTTTTCATATGGATACCGTTTTGCGGTATTCAATCTTCTAATGCAGTGGAAGGTTGAGATACACCACCAGGACTTTTGTCAGCCAAATTACAGGTAGTCCTTGACTTATGGCCATTTAACCACCTTTAGAAGTTACGACAGTGCTGAAAAAAAAGTGACTTATGACCAGTCCTTATAACCATCACAGCGTCCCCATGGTCACACGATCAAAATTTGGGTGCTTGGCAACCAGCATGTATTTATGACGGTTGCAGCATCCCTGGGTCACGTGATTGCCATTTGCGACCTTCCCAGGGGGCTTCCAACAAGCAAAGTCAATCGGGGAAGCCAGATTCACTTAATGACCATGGCAAAAAAAGGTGGTAAAATTGGGTGTGATTCACTTAACGACCGCATTGCTTAGCAATGGAAGTTCCAGTCCCAATTTTGATTGCAAATTGAGGATTACCTATATACAAACACCCACATTTCTCCAATCCTGGAACTTTTTTTTTTTTTAAATGAGAGGCCAGACTGGATTTTCAGATAAGACAATGTCATCCCAGCATATCAAATAGTGACAGATCTGTAAAATTCTCAGGTTTAAGAAATGTAGCAGTACACAATGTTTAATAGCTGGCTTGCGGTTATATATAACAATGGCACACTACCAAAGAATTTTTATGTTCCACTTTGCAACACCCAGGAAGAATCTAAGCCCAGGAGAATTGTCAGTTTGTAATATAACTTGCATGGTTCTCATTTCTACATCAGGCTTTTTGAGTAGAACGAGGATTGTTAATTGAATTACATAACAAAATTAATTTGCAAATTAGTTGCTCTCCCTCAGGAGAACTTGGTTCATGGTGAGATGGATCCAACTCATTCTACAGAAAATCAGCCAACATATACCTTGGAAGAATACAGCCATGCTACATCTTGTATTCTAAGAAACATTAGAAGGATTACTTCATGAAAAAGGTTTTATTTTTTTTTAGCCCCACCATTATACCAATACGCTTCAAGGACATTGAGAAGAGAAAGACTTATATTTTGCCCGATGTTCATCTATTTCCTTTTTGGTTTTCTTGATACAACTAAAGATTTCCTTGAAGAGAAGTTTATATTCAGGGGGAGCGTTGGAAGAAAAGCTGGCTGAATCAGCGTTGGGGGAACCAGGCTCCCTAAGACACACATCCAGGGATACACCCCCTCCATTGACATCTTTGGAATACTGTTTTGAGGTCTGCACAGCCTTGTGGTCCAGAAATTCTTTGTCCATCTGACACTTCTGCAGCAGTTCTTCATACTTGACCTTCAAGGCGTTATACTGGGCATCAACCTCGTTTAGCAGAGAAATGCCCCGTTGCTTCACGGCTTCCGCCCGCCGGATACAGGTCTCTTCATGGCCTTTGAACAGGTCCTCACCTGCAGCACTGCTAAGCAAGCTCTCGCTGCTGCTTCTTTTGAGGGACCTTTTTTCAAGTTCAGGAAGGATGAAGGACATTCCATCCAAAGGACTCTGGCTGAGTTCTCTTTCTACAGGGTCTTTAAGAGAAATGAAAAAAGATTCTGGGACAAGTTGCTCCATCCCATTCATGCATGTGCTTCCAGAATTAAAGTGCTGCTTCATTTCAGCCACTTCTACCTCCAGCTCCTCCACTCTCGCCCGGTACAGATTGATGTCCACCAGCCGTTGCTCAAGATCATTGTTTTCTTTGAGCAGAAGACTGTACTCTTCCTCCATAGACAATCTCTTTTCTTTTTCCAAGTTGAGCTGAGTTTGCAAGAGAGATACAGCCTTCTTCAAATTTTGGTTTTCCTCTTCTACAGGACTTAGCTGATTATCCATAGATATAATCTTTTCTGCAAAGATATGGTCATATACAAAATACCTAGGCATACATAGAAAGAGAGAATAAAAACGCTTAGTTTGCTTTGCCCAATAAATCTTGCTCCCGTAGCATATGAAAACATCAATCCTATGGATACTTCACATCAGGGAAGAGATCACCCAAAAGTGGAAGACTTGGGTGTATTTATCTAAACCTAGAATATTAGGTAAGCATTTTAAGCGTCAGTTTTCAATCAAAGCAGTCCATGGCTTCCATCTTCTAAGAAAACAGACCAATTGGGAATTTATGGCTAGAATATGGCATGTAAATAATATTAATTGTCAACGTTCACCCTTATCTTTGCTGTGTGAGTTTGCCACTTACTTGCGAAGATCATACAGTTCCTTCAGGCATGGAAAACTGTGGACAGATTTTGGCTGCTCGGGTCTTTCACAATTCATGTGGCCTTGCCCAGAGTTCTTCAGCTCTTCCACCTGCCTCTGCAGTTCATCAATGTGAGTCTGGAGATTCTCAATCGTCTCCGTGAGACTAAAAGGAATTTTAGAAAGCACATGAACCAGGGAGTGCAAAGCTGTCAGAGATGATTGCACTTGCTCAGTATAGCTTGATGTTCTCCTGACTTCATCTCCTCAGCCACCAGCTAAGACAGACTTTAACAAAAGCAGTTCTGTGAACATCACATCCCCATGCTCGAGAGAAAGACACTTTTTTAAAAAAATCAGGTTCCAGATTGGCACATTCAGAAGAACTAGCACCAAAGTAAGCATGGTACATACACTTCCCCTTATCTCCCAATTGAGTTAACTTTTGGGAGCAAATATGGTAGGAGCTCAACATGGGTCTGGTAGCCCCTTTTCCAACTAACTTTATAAAATTTGTTACAACATTTAGAAAAGGCAGAACCTTTTCCAAGCTGCAGCTGGTGAATCCGATGGCTTCATTGCATTACTACCTGATGACTCTTTCGTCATGCGTCTGATGACGTAAGCTGAAGCTCTCGAAAGGTTAGGCCTTTTAAAACAGTTTGTTCATCGGAAAAGGGGCTACCAGACTCCTGATTTTCTGGGGATAGACGAAAGGAGTTACATGGAAAGAAAGAAAAAAGCAAGTGGGCCTACAATCCATTCCACCACTTAACGTATTGCTTAGATAGACCCTCTGATAAAATTGGACAAGGTGCGTGAGTCCATTTATAATACCCTGGTAGATAAGGGGAATCATGCTGCAACAGCCAACGTATTACCTTCCTATCTTCTGCTGAGAGGACCTACTATCAGCAACCAGTTTTTGATTCGCATCTTCCAGTTCTCTAGCAGTAACGTCAAGCTGCTCATAGACTTTGGCGTGCTGATCATTCATCTGACGCAGAAGATCCACTTGCTTTGTCAGATACTGCAAAATGAAACAGGTACGTGTATTAGACCAGCAGATTCAGAACTAACAAACAGAGCGACTTTCATCATTTCAGACACGCAGCATTGTCCAATTTTAGGCTTCAGAACACGCTATGGGAAAATTGCCTACTGAAGGAGGAGAAATTGAGGTCAGAATCAAAAATTAAGAAACTGCTAATGCATAGTCAAGGAGATTTGGAGGTGTTAATCCCAAATGTTATTTCTCCTCTCACCTGCTGCTGCACATAAATCATCTTAGAAATGACATTTTATGAGATGGTTTGAGCCTGCTGGTCAAAAATTCAACCTTAGTTGACCAATGCTAGGAGTTGCAGTCAATAAGTTGGGAAGCATTTCCAATAGTTGCTTTAGAATACAATTCAAGTGTTTATTTCCCCAAGAACTGCTGATATAGCCCAGGACGTGATCTTAAAAGAAGTGTGTGTAAGTCATAAGAGACAGCAATATAACATCCCACTGTTGGTTAGTCACCAATGTGAGCTCTGTTTCAACCCTTGGAAAATTGAGTTATTCAGGGAGAACCTCTTATATTCCCAAAATATTCCTGCTTGATTGAAATCTGTATGAAATGCTCAGCAGGAACACGCTTAATTCCCCAAATCCTTCTTTTTAACGTTGTAAAAACTGCTTTCAAAAAGCCTTGACTTCAAATTCGCTGATGTAAGAATGTTAATCTTTCCATTTTTAAACTGCTTGACTGAAGGGGCACCTTAGTATCAAACAACGGATTCCTATTCCAGTTTCTCCTATTGAAAACTGAAAACCACCACGCCCTAGCCTCTCATGCGTGCCATTTGTATGTTGTGCTAATAGTTTCATGAACTAGAAAGACTTCAAGTGCCAAAGAGGTGGCAGAAACAAGTTATTAAAATCGACAGCTCTTTTCAACAGTCTGTGTCGGTTTCTGTCATTCTTGCCTGTAGCCTATTAATTAGGTAATGAAAGCTTGTGTTTTCCAATCTTTGTTTACCTGATTTAAAAGACTGATCGGCTTCCAGTTTAAGAAGTGTGAAACAGGATTACACTTTCATCTAGGATCACCATCCTCAACCTTCACTCTATGAGAATCAGTATTACCTGTTGCCATTTATAGCTAATCCATGATCAACAGAGGGATTAGACCAGTGTTTCTCAACCTTGGCAGCTTTCGGATGGGTGGACTCCAACTCCCAGAATTCCCCAGCCAACATGGGGAATTCTGGGAGTTAGAGTCCACCCATCCGAAAGCTGCCAAGGTTGAGAAACACTGGGTTAGACCAAGCCAGAACTGGCATTATCTCAGAGGCAACATTCACCCAGCACCTATAATTTGGTAATGATTTAGTTCCTTTACTGATTTAATTCCTTTTCTGAGTTCACACAATAAACTGAACCATAAATGCCTCCGATTGGGTTCATACAACATACTAAGCCACAGAAATCCAACCGCTATCACCACTCACCAAGATGACCGTGCTACACAAATGCATCTGTTCATGTCGTCATATGGCCCGGTCTGAACACGGGCAATATAATCTAACCGGTTAATTTGGACTACTACTCCGAAAAGAAATGGAAGATGTTCCTCTTGAAGAATGCCTAATGAAAAGGCACTTGTGAGTTCACACATTAGCAAGACAAATCTGTGTTGGAAAATGTTGGCTTTCAGCTATGCTGCAGCTTGCACCCGGTAATAACGCATGAGGTCTGCATCAACATGCGACGGTTCACCTTTCAGTGCAGAAGGGACATGGGCCGGGTTTACAAACCCACTATAGGTGAGATCATACAACACGCTAAGCTGAAAGTAAACCAGATGGTAACAGAAGGCGCTGTGTGGACCCAGCTGTTGATTTTCTACACTGGTGACTCTTGGTGCAAACATGGTTTGTTGGCCTCCCTTAGCCATACCTCTACATCAGAACAGCAAACCAGCAGCCCAGAGTGGTATATAATCCAATTTTATAGGACAATCACCTCTATTTCCTGCAGTTGCTCCTGGTTGGTGGAATACATCTGCTGCAGAGAGGTCTCCAATTCTGTGTTTCGGTCCAACAGGGTCTTCCCAAGCTCAGCAGCCAGATGAAGATCTACAACAAATTGTGGGTATGCTTTGTTTAATGCAATCACCACCACCTTATTTTAAGTACTGTACAAGCATTAAAAAAAATCAAGTATAATTTCTAGAGGAATGAAGGCTTGCTTTTTGGCGATTAATGGCACCTTTCAGAATCTCTAAAGCAGTGTTTCTCACCTTGTCAGCTCTCACAGGTGTGGACTTCAACTCCCAGAATTCCCCAGCCAGCCTTGCTAGCTGGGGAATTCTGGGAGTTGACGTCCACATCTCTGAAAACTGCCAAGATTAAGAAACACTGCTCTAAAGGGGTTTTTTGTAATACCATAGTTGCGTTAGTATCTAAAGTTTAATCTGTGTTTCTTATTTTGCCCTCAATGAAATGTAAGAGGTACAAAGTTAGTGAAGTCCTTTCAGGATAGATTTTGAAAGCAGATGCATCAGATATTCTATTTTTCACCCAATGTCTTTAGTATTCAATTCACCAAACTACAACGATGTAGAATTGGCAGCCACAAAGGAAAGAAAGCAATAAGGTAAAATTTTACTGCGTGGCTGGCTCCTTAAAAAGCAGGGTTTCACAATATTACTTTTCTTCCTGGCCTAAATGTTTGGTGTAGATCTATCATGCTGGCTTGGTACCAGAGAATGTAAGTTATTTTTAAACAGGCCAACTTTGTTGGTATTAAGTTTGTACAAGTTTCATCATGCAAAGAACTGGCAGATTCCTAAAACTGTGCTTAAGTATCCAAGGCTTGGGATCTTAAAACTTTTCCCATTAACTGCATAAGGCACAAAAGGACATTGGTGGTCAACAATATCTGTGTTCTGGCTGTAAGAACTTACAGATCTTCATGATGCTGACCTGATCCATTGCACTTAATTTTATGTTCTCTGTTTGCTCCACAAGTCTGGTTTGGTTAAACTTTAAAAAGGCCCTTTTGCACCTGAAGCAGACATTTTGGAAAGAAGCTCAGTAGTACTACAGAAGTTGTTTGGACCTTGACAATTTGAAATAAATTATACGTTGACTGGAAACCAAACATAAGTTACAACAAACCTTAAAACAAACTAATCCGTTGTCATTTTTCTTCCAGCTCTATTGCACTTAGCAGTGTAAAAAGATTGTAGAAAACTTGTTTGGGATTCATAAGATGTCAGAGACCCCATATTGCTTCAACCTATGTCAAATTCTCTTTTTAGGTCACTGTAAGCTATGTTTCTTGACCTCAAAACTACTATAAACTATCATTGGTGCTGTTTGCAAAACATCTAAGCTAGGATTTTGCATAATCTTCTCTAACAATCTCCAGAATTGCCATGAATACAGTTGGTGCTGCACTCAGTGACATTTGCCCATAGTTAATAATTCAAAGTTCAGTCACTCGGGCACCAATAACTTCCACGCTGTTATATTCTATTATCTGTATCAAGCAACATTCAAAGTCTACAAGCAACAAGGCGTTAATTTCTTGCATCATATTATCCACGTAAGGACTACTTGATTACATGCTGTTCCCCAGTCTGATTTTCCTGCAGATATATTAAACTTATAAATGTATTATGGGAGTGATAGGAGTTAAAGTCAAACAGGTATATCTACATTTTATCTCCATACAATGTATACACCTGTTAGTAGAAATCTATTTTTCTATTTTTTCCTTCAGCATACACATGCTTTCACAGCTACTGGTCCAATTCCAGTGAAGCCTGGATAGAGCCTTTGATCATTAATTGCAAAGCCACGGAAAATCCCTTTGATCCACTTCTACAAGAACAGTCCACCTACAGTCCCCAAAATATACGATAGTCTGAAGTTGTGTATCACTCTTCCAACACACAGCTTGTGCTAAAGTCTGCGCAAGCTATTTCAGACACAGATTTGTGAAGCATTTCCCAGAGGGAATATTGAAGATAAATAAACTGCACAGATTAGTATTTTCAACAGGAACATACCAATTTTAAGGCAAATAGTTTAATTGAAGATACTCAGCAAAATTATACGTTAGTCTTGAGTGGATTAACTAGAAAAGGAGTTCATCTTCTCATTATGTTGTTATGATGTCTGCAGCTCGCAAGTCACATATACGGCAGAGCGATACAAACACTAAGCACGACAATATTAATATTCAGCAAGAAATTCTTCTGACATTTAAAACGCATTCAGAAATATACCTTCCTTTCTTCTTTCACTACTGCATGGAAAATAATCAGTATGGCCACTTAGTGCCATTTTCAATAGCTTCTAAAGCCATAAAATAAGAGTCTATGGTATGCTACCCAGTTCTGGAAAATCAATCATAAATGCCATAGTCCAACATTAAACTGCATTAATAATATGAAACAAAGAATCCAAAGTTCAGAGTACAATACAAGAAAATAGATTGCAATGCTAAGTGCCACAAAGGAAAAAGCGTGCATGACTGTTGATAGATTTCTACTTCTCAGGCAATGTAATCTTCTAACCGAAGGTGCAATTCAGATTTTGCAACTGATGCAATATTTCTAACTGGCAATTTTAAGCAACACAATAGTACAAATGGTTTATTATGAAGTTAATTTGGTTTTTGTTGTTGTTTTAAAGATATTGCCATTTTCACAGTTTGAAACTGACCACTGGTCTTAAAATGACAGGAACCCACAACAGCTGCAATTTCATTGCATCCAGAGCCAAGAGGCCACGGCTGGAATCATATTGAAAGAATGCGATGCAACACTGTAGAGAATAAAAATCTTGATTGCATGAATATGTGTCTCAGACTTGCGTCACTCAAGTCACTACAGCCAGGAAATGGGAAAGGTTTGAGCCTCTTTGAAGAAAGCGCTCTGGGTGAAGCATTTCACAACTCCCCCCTAAACGATGTATTATCTCAAATTAAAGCAAGGCCTTTTAAATGACAGGCTTTAAAAAATGCTCCAAGTGAAGAAGAGATGTTTTCTCATCAGCCTTACACCCTTGAAGGACAAGGTAAGCCTTGGAATATCTCACTGGATATTCTTCCAACATTCAGAAGTAAACTAGGCAACAGGCATTTGATAATAAGGCAAAGTCTAATTCTTGGCCCTTAAATAGAACTAAATGCAGAGCAGAAAAGCCACTACCACGTAAAAAGCACTTATTTGCAGTATCTGCACACACTAATCTGCCTTTGGACTTATGAGACAACCCTAATTTTAAATTTTAAAACAGTAATAAAATTTGGTTTAGGTTTTGTGGCATCGCTTATTGACCAATTAACCTCAAACGGGATACCCACCCACTCAAACTCAAAGCCAGCTCTCCTTGCACACCTGTGCTCCACCGTGCGAACATCCCAAAAGCTTCAGTTCACTCACCTGTCGTTTTCCAGAAGTCTAACCTTCTTTGGGAAACTGTATTTTACAGGGCTTAGTGCTGTTACTCCCAAGCAAGGTGACTGCTGTGGTGGAACTGAGGATTTCGTTTCCAAATAAAACACGGCAAGAAATTGGGCTTGGCTATTTTTAATTGCATTTGAAAGTCCTTCCGTGTGCTTTTTGAAGGACTGTATCTTCCAGGGCTGTGTTTTTCAAGCTCGGCAACTTTTAAGATGGGTGGACGTCAACTCCCAGAATTCCTCAGCCAGCATGGCTGGCTGGGGAATTCTGGGAGTTGATGTCCACCCATTTTAAAGTTGCTGAGCTTGAGAAAACTCGTTCTAGGGGCTTCTGCCCACATTTTGCCTTGCAAAGCCTATTTCTTCTCCTAGTTCCTTCCATTCTTCCCCAGCCTATCCGTCCATTGGCCACCTTCCTCCCCCTTCACGTTCTCCCCCAAGTTCACATCAATCACTTCTCCTTCAAGGGCTTCCCAGCTACGCCCCTCCTCTGTTCATTGTCATCCTCCTCCCCGTGCGCGTTGGGGCCCCCTCCCCACCATTCTCCTTTCCCCTTTTGTCCAGGGCGAGACGCCTTTTTCTAAAGCAGAGGCGTCCCTTGGCTTCCTTGGAGTAAGACTCTGCGGGGAAATACCTGCGAGAGGGGCAGGAGGTGGGGTGGAGGAACAAAGCAGGAGACCGCGATGAGGAAGAGCAGCATGGCAAGGAAGGAAGGATCAGGAAGAGAAAGCCGGGAAGAGGCTGGTGGGCAGAATTAACCAGCCAGAGATGGGGGGGGGAGCCAAAGGAAAGGATGAGGAATCAATTTTAGGGGATGGGAAGAAGGGGCAAGTCCATTGCCAGGAGTTGGAGGGGAAGGGAGGGGAGGGGAGGGGAGGGGAGGGGGCTCCACTCAGGTGAGCAGCGGGAATTAAAGACAAAGCCATTGTCCCATGGATGGATGGAGGGGAAAGAGAAGCCCCCCACCCAATTAAGGAGGAAAAGGGGTTGCACCTGCCAGCCCCAACCTGCTCCC